CACTCATCATTTTACAGGAAGCAAGTAACATACCTATTATCCTGTTATCTCCTCCCAGAAAAGAACATTCTAATGGGAACTCACTGTTCTGGTTTGCCGGCTCCCTCAGCAGCCAGGCTCCAGAGCCCCGCTAGGAACTTCACGGGGACTGAAGGTTTCAGACTCCCCTCCGAGAGAACCACGTTTCTCACCATTGGCTACACCAAGGAAGCCCTGTGCCCAGCTCTCCGAGTAAGGGGGCCTGGCCTAGGGAGACAGGAAGGCCTGGGTTCAGACCAAGGCATTGCCACTGGGTCACATGGAGAAGTCATTTATGTCATCTGGCATGCCTCTGGTTCACCCTCTGTGAAATGGAAGCAATAGCCCCTTTCGTACGTGGCTTATGGGAAGCATATGGAGAGATGATAGTTTTGAAAATGATATAGCTCTCTATTAAAAGGCTATGGCATGCATTATATTTTAATTAAGGTAACCAGATAAAACACAGAACGCCCAGTCAAGTTTGAATTCCAAATAAACAACAGATACTTTTTAATTATAAGTTTGTCTTATGCAATATTTGGGACAAACTTATAACTAAAAAATGATCCCTTGTTGATCAAAAATTCAAATTTGACTGGGCTCCATGCCCTTTTCTTTGCTGTATCTGGTAGCCCTAATGTTCACGAAACATTTTTCTAACAGAAATGAATTAAATTCCTAGACAGAGGAAAGAATTGTTGATTGCTTTTTTTCTTTTTCTTTTTTTTTTTTAAAAGCTTTATTGAGATAAAATTTACATACCATATAATTCACCCAATCTAATGGTTTTTAGTATAGAGTTGGGTAACCATGACCACAGCTTAAGTTTAGAACATTGCCACCACCCCAAACAGAAACCCAATAGCCACTAGCAGTCACTCCCTGTAACCCCACCTGACACCCCAGCCCTAAAACTAATCTACTTTCCATCCCTATGAATTTGCCTATTCTAGAAATTTCTTAGAAGTGAAATCATACAATATGCCAATAGTTTCTTTCACTCAGCATAATGTTTTTAAGATTTATCTATGTAGTAGTATATATCCACATTTCATGACTTTTTATTGCCAAATAATATTCCATTGTATCATTAAACCACATTTTGTTTATCCTTTCATCACTTGACAGACATTTGGGTTGGTTCCACTTTTGGGCTACGATGAATAATGCTGCTATGAACACTCACGCACAAGGTCTCATAAGGACGTATGTTTTCACTTCTCAGACATATACCTAGAAATGGAATTGCTGGGTCACATGGAGACTAGATTTAACTTGGAGCTGCCAGACTATTTTCCAAAGCACCATTTTACATTCCCACCAGCAATGCATGAGAGCTGCAATTTCTCCACATCCTCATCAACACTTGCTATTATTTGCCTTTTTGGCTCTAGATACCTTGTGGGTATGAAGTGGTATCATATTGTGGTTTTGACTTGTGTATATTTAATGACAAACAATAGTGAGCATCTCTCCAAGTTCAGCTATTTGTATATCTTCTTTGGAGAAATGTCTATTCATATCCTTTGCCCATTTTTAAGTTGGATTATTTTATCTTTTTATCATTGAGTTGTGAGATTTCTTTATATATTCCTTATTAGATATCTAATTTTTAAATATTTTCCCACTGTATACATTTGTCTTTTCCCTACCTTAATGATATTATTTATAGCACAAAAGTTTTTAATTTCTATGAAGTTCAGTTTGTCCATTTCTTCCTCTTGTTGCTTGTCTTTTTGTCTTCATAGCTAATAAGTCATCGCCTAACCGAAAGTCATGAAGATTTACTCCTTTGTTTCATCTGTTGACATGCTTTCAAGATCTCTCGCTTACACTGGCTTGGGAAACCTCTTTGTTCCTAGATTTTCTAGAGAGTAAAATAAGGAGTTGAGGAAGAGTGGAGGAGGGGAGGTCTGCGTGACTTACAAATAAAAACAGATGTTGTAATATAAAGTAAAATGTCCCTCCAACTTGTCAGCCCTGCGACAAGCCTCAGTGTGATTTCCAAGTGATCTTTCTACTACAGAAATGAACCATAAAAGTACTACGAACCGACCTCCCCCAGCCCTGTGTCAGCCCCTGTCCCTGGAACTGGCTGGACCAGGCGCCGGCAGAGGCGGACTGAGCGCCAGGCCGCAGGACAAGGCTGGTGCAAGGAGCTTCTGGTCAAGATAGCAAGAGAGGACGAAGCTGGAGAGATTAAGTCAGAGCCCGGGAGAGTTGAGGTCCAAATGCCAGTGAAGCGAGGGTCCCTGCACACCAAGGGCAAAAAGGAGAAGGCAGCAAAAGTGAAGCGAGGCATTGTAGGGTCGTGAAGCCAAGCGTGGAGTCAAGACGAAGTGGAAATAGGCTGGAATCGGTGGTGGAGAGATGAAAGATGCTGAGAAAGACATGAGTAGCTGAAGCAATGATCTGGAAAAGCCCAGCCTTCGAGACTTCCTGGGAGCCAGCTCATCAGAAAGGGGAGGAGAGGCGAGGTCAGTCCGCCTTCGGGAGGCAGGGGTGGGGTGAGCAGAGCAGGGATCGCTGGCAGCCACCTTTCTTGAGAGCCAGAGTTCTTCAGACAAGTTACTTTACCTTCTGAACAGTCTCATGAAGGAGTCAATGATGTCTTACCCATTTTCTAGACATGGACGCTTCATCCCCGAAAAATGCCTCTGGACCTCTGTTTCCGGCAGTATGGAAGCTAATGTCATCCAAAGGGCTGTGCTGCTGCATTTATTCTGTTGCTAGGATCTCCCTTCCACTCCCCACCCCACAAAAGGCAAACCCAAGCCCTATCTGCATTAAGCAGATAGAAAGTTAGGTTGCACTAAGTGGAAATGCCAATATTACCAGCTCTGCAACTGAGCTGATACTAAGATAGTAAGCCCTGGGCCATGAGCAGGATAGGGAGCTAGGCCTATGACTGCCATATTAAATTAGAGACCCTCAACAGAGTCTAAAGTGGCCTCATACATATCCCTTCTTAGCTCCCAGAAAGAAAGCTAATACAAAGCCTTTTTTGGAGGGAAGCATTCTCCATTTAGATGTATAGCATTCCTGCCAATTAAACACATGCAAATGTGACCTCATTAAAAAAAGACCACTAAATACACAAGGAAACAAGTCACCATGATTTGAAGTTAGCAGATACATCAAACAATAAGCTTAGACTGCCAATAGCTCAGAAGTTGGAATTATTTAGATAATATGAAATAACTATGCATTAACTGTTTAAGAAAACTAAAATGGAATTACAAAACTAAGCAAGCAACAAAAGACCATCAAAATAACCAAGGATATCTGAGGAATAACCCAATAGAACCTTTAGTAATAAAATTATTTTTGAAATCAGAAATACAATAGGTGGGTTAAACGACAAATGAGACACAAAGAAAGAAAGATTAGTGAACTGGAAGACAAAGCTGAAAAAAAATTACCTATTAATGTAGCATGGTTGTCAAGGAAATGGAAAATATGAAAGAGAGATTTATGATCTATGAAGGCTAAAATTAAAAACTCTCAATCACATTTAATAAAAATCCCAGAAGAAAAGAACACAGAAAACAGAAGTTTCTCAGAGAGAATAGCCGAGAAGTTTCCCAGACTGATAAGACATAAATCCACAAAGCATACATCCAAAAAGAATAGAAGATATATCTAGACACCTTGTATTGAAACTACAGAACACCAAAGACAAAGGGACAATATTAAAAATAGCCAGAAAGAGAAGACAGACCACTCCCAAAGAGATTACACTGATAGCAGGCTTCCCAACAATGAGAGAAGACAGTGGAATAATATCATTTCAGTACTGAGAGAAAATAACTGTTAACCTAAAGTTTGTACCCAAGAAAACTAATTTTAAGACTAATTTTAAAACTTTTAAGTTTGAAATAAAAAGCAATTTCATATAATTTTATAAACAAATAATAAGAGGTTTGCCACCAACTGGTCTAAAGTCATTAAAGGAACATCTAAAAGACATTCATCAGGGGGAAAGTTTTAAAATAACAGAAAATGTGACTATGCAACAGGAAGAAATGGTTAGCAAATAAAATGGGAGACATATAGATAAATCTAAAAATTTTCTATTTTAACTAAATACTGAACTAAAATATTGAAAAACCACAGCATGTAACTCATAAGTCAGGGAGGGGGACGTTGGGTTTAAAAATTTTCTAATGTCCTGTGGTTTTCATTAGGAATTTTGCTAAGAATGCATGTACACGGTAAACTAGGATTGTCCTGAGAAAACACCTGTTATCCCAGCATAAATGTTAATAGCAGCCCCTTTTAATCTCAGAAGAGTCCTGGATTGAGCAATAAATCACACTGTCACCCTGTCTATGACACAATAATCCCACTCCTAGGTACATACCCTAGAGAAACTCTGTACACATGCACCAAATGTGTACGAAAATGTTCAACCATATGGAGACTGTTGATGGAGCTTTGTAAACTGTTCGGTCTTCTTACAAAAGGAAACAGTGGAGACAAGGACAACACATAGAGCCCGGTACAGTCACGACCCAGAGTGTGAGCTGGAAAGTGGCTTTTCTTCCCAACACCACCACTCCCTAGCCCTGACCCCCTGGTCAAGGTGCCAGACCTTTCTAAGCCTCAGTTTCCTCACATGGAAGGTCCGGATACTAATAATGCCTACTTGCCCTACAGGGTTGTTGGGAGGCTCATTAGCATTCGTAACAGAAACCAACGTTTACTGAACAATTACTATAGCCAAGCGCTCCACTAGGAGTTTGATGTATACAGCCCATTTAATCCTCACAATGACCTTTGAGGTGGGCTTTGTTGTCATGCCCGTTTTGTAGGCGAGATAGCCGAGGCGTGGCAACACTAAACAACGTGTGCAGGGTCAGAACTAGCCCAACAGGCGCCAACACTCAAAACACAGGCCTCCTGACATGAACCCCCGGCTCTCTGCCACGACTGCCCGGGCCTGGGCACACAGCCGGTGCACCGTGCCCACCCAGTACCTGAGTGAGTAGATGGTGGTGACGATGATCGTGGCGGTGTTGTCACTCCTGTCCAGTCAACAGGGGGTGGCAGGTGACAGAGGGCCTGTAGGTACTCCATAAAAGGTGACACCGTCGCTCCGTGTCACTCAGCAGATTCCCTAATGCTGCCAGGGTAGAAGCGCAGCATCCCCTCCAGCCAGTTGCTGGTGACCGTCCGTATTCCAGCTGTGCTCGGAAACACCTTCCAGGAGGCTTTCCAAACGTTGGCAGGCTGCCAGGATCATGGACCAGTGCCTGTTGTCACAGAAACGTGAGCAAGCCTGAAGGGAGAGACAGGAGACACCCTTTGAGCTGTGTTCTTTCTGACATGCTTTGCCGTCCAACTTCAGGCCGGGGAAACAAACAAAAGAAGCAGGCGAGAGTCCAGACAAAAACAGTCACGTCTGCTCTTTTGCTCAGAGCAAGAGAACAAGGTCTGAAGGGCTCCCAATTTAACCCCCGCGGTACAGCAGCTCAGACTCACCTTTACCCCGACCTGCCCGGGCCTCGCTCCTCTTCGGGTCTTTTCAGTTCTGCGATCCAACGTGGCGAGAGAAGGAATGGGCTGTCGTTTTTTACAGATGAGAAAACAGAGCTTCCACTCCAAGGCCAAGGAGCCACGCAGGGAGAGAAGTGGGCACTGTGAGCCGGAAGGGGGTGGGGGCCCGGGGGCAGGTGACCGTGCCCCACCCAAAGCTGCTGGGGTTGTGAGCAGGGGAGGGCAAGACCCGCATCACAGTAAGTGTGGGCCTGGGGACAACGAGCAGCCTGCCTGTCCCCCGCCTGTCTTCCCACCTGTGAGTGACTATTGAAGGCCTACGGGTGCCGACCTGGGCCCCGCAGACGGTCGTGAACAAGCCGGCTCGCCCTGTGCTCTTCGGGAATGGAAGAGTCTGGCCCACAGACGCCACTGCGAGCCTTCTGCAGCCCCGCAGCAAAGACAGGCGGCCGGGCAGGCCTCCCCGGCAGGCCTCCACTGCTGTGGGTCCAGCCCCCGTTTTAGAGCCGTCCAGGCTCCATGCCCACGTGAGCCCCCCACACACAACTCCAGAAACAGCCTCCCTGCCCCCGGATCCAGGGTTTTCTGCATCTTCCAGGCTTAGATGCACCCAGAGTCCCGACCTGCGTTTTTCTTGCTCTCGGGCCTGGCTCCACTGTGCTCCACGCCAGGCCATTTACCAGGGGCTAAACTGAAATGATCTCTCCAATTTGCAGCCACGCTGCCGGGCCTTCTGATGGTAAAAGGCCTGATTCATTACAGCTGCGAACAAACCCATTGCCCACCTGGCTTTGGCTTCCAAAAGCTAGTCCTGTTCTCCCTGGCAGAGGCAATGGAAAGGGGAGGGATGGGGACCTGTTCTGCCCCCGGTACAGAGGACCTCCGTGAATTCCTGACCTCAGGCTGCTGGCAGAAGGGGCTGCCTGACCTCAGGCCACTGGCAGAAGGGGCTCCATGGCTTTGCCTCCAGCCCTTCCCTGTGGTCCCACCTGCTCCATCCACCTGGTCTCCCATAACGCCCGATGCATGCGTGCACCTCCCAGGCTGGACCTCACCCAGCCAACCCTGTGTGTCAAGGGCCCGCCTGGTGCCAGGCATGTGTTAGGAACTGGAGGTTCATTGCTGAGCGAATTGGACATGGGCCCTGCACTTTCTGCACTCCATTCAGGGAGAGAGAGCCACATTGCTCAAATCCTAACCAAATACTCACCTCTAATTATAACATAGGATACATAAGAAAGGAAAATGCAGAGCCATGGGAGGAGGTAGCAGCAGGAACTAATGTGGTCAGGGAGGGCAGAGCAGGCTTCTCTCACCTTTGAGCTGGAGTGGAAGGATGAGTGAAGAGGGCCACATTGCTGGAGGTGGAGTTTCAGGTGGGAAGAATGTTCCATAAGAGGGAGCTGCATGTGCAAAGGTCCTGCAGCAGGAGGGAACATGCATACGCAAGGAGCACACTGCCCAAGGGAAACTAAGGCTGGAGAGGGGGCAGCAGCTGGTCCAAACAGAGCTCATGCCTATCTCAGTGACTTTACTCACAGCACAGTCTCTGCCCAGCACACCTGGTGCCTCTCACTCCATGAACTTCCCTTCCCTTCCTGCCCAACTCACTTATCACCTCCTCCAAGAAACCTCCCTTATTCCTTATTTGCAAATATTCGCTCCCTACTCTGAGTCCTCCCCTGCTGGACACACTCCAGCAATCCACACACCTGTGCTGGGCCCCTGATCACCTGACTGCCAGGGAGATGCTAAGACAAAGGGGCCCAGTCCCTGCCCCACAGCAGGGGGACCAACACATAACACCTGGGAAAGCACCAGTAAGACAAAAATCTGATGCCAGTGAGGCGCTGAGCCACGAGGACATCTGGGCAAGGGTAGTCAAGGCAGCAGGAATGGCGAGTGCAAAGGCCCTGGGGCAGGACCACACGTGGCATGACTGAGGAGCAGCTGAGCACCTGAAGTGAACTGTACAGGGGTTAGGAGATGGAGCTGGAGAGGTGATGGCAGGGTGTTTCGTGACTATAGCCCAGACTTAATTTATAGGGGTGAATGAGTGACAACATGGAGAGGTCAATACTACTGAAAAAATTGTTTGCTTCTGACATCCTGTGGGGTGGGCAGACCACTGCGCAGGGCTACATGAGGAAGCACAGATGGGGGGGGGGTGGAGGCAGAGGAGCGAGGGGAAGCCTGGGCCAGAGCCTTCATCCTGGTTTCCAGGGAGGGGCAGGGCAGAGCAGGGGAACAGCTGGGGATGGCTCAGCTCATTCGAATGTGTCGCCAAGCTCTGAGCTCCAGGCTGGTCTCCAGGTGTTAAGTCCCTGGCCCAGCGGTGGTTTAGGGTGGAGGAAACATTGTCTTGGTGTGTGAGTTAGACCTGCAGCGTGCCCACGATGTGAACGCATCATAAAATGTGGAAAATAACAAGCATGACTAACACAGGGGCCGGATCGTGCAGGGGCTCAGCACCACCAGAAAGACGTGAGATGCCCTTTGAAGGAAATGTGGGCCTTTGGACGTACCCAGGGGCGACAGAAACCTTCAGCGAGGCTGCCCCGCGAGCTGAGTCCAGAGACAAGGACAGGGGAGGCAGTTGGAGAAGGGGAGCAGTGGCAGCGAGACTCACAGACGTGACCGTGTGTGTCGGGAAGAGGGAGTTTATGGTTGGAGCAGCCACTGGAAGGGGAGGCAGAATCGTGATCTCGGAGGCCAGGGGTGGGGGAGGTGGCTGGTGTAGACGCTGTAGCGCTGAAGCCTGAGAACCAGCCATCAGAGGCCCCCAGGCTGGGCAATGCCTGATCAGACCTTCCCACGTTGCATTTTGACCCTTTTACGTTCTATAGTTGGGTCTACGCTTCCTCCTCCAGGACCCTTTGACATTCCTGAGCCCGAAGCCTGCTGTTGATAGCATTATGTGGCTTCATCCCCCACCAGCCCTGGGCATACGAGGTAGGTGCAGTCTCTACCTCTGTACAAGTGCAGCTAATGCTCAGAGTTCAATAACGTGCCTGTGGCCACCCAGCCAAGATAATACGGAGTCAAGATTCAAACGCACCAGTGGTGACCTGGTAGACGTTTAGCCAGTTCTCTGGGAAAAGAGAACTGATTACTAGTGTTTGCCAATTTCTGTGGTGTACATTCTCCCACCGTGGCTGATTTCAAGCTACCGACCCAAGGTCATGGGAGGAGGAGTTGGGAAGAGAGGAGCAGTGGCTGCCACTGCACAGTTCCCACCAGGAGGATGCCGCAGACATAAACAACCTGCAGGGCGTAGATCGGGGGTTGGCAAACGCGGCCTGAGCTACGAGCCAAATCGAGAACTACCTGTTTGGAAAATAAAGTTTTCTGGAGCACAGCCGTGCCCACCCATTGATGTATTGTCCGTGGCCTCTTTTTCCTTACAGCAGAGCTGAGCAGTGTGACACAGACCAGCAAAGCCTAAAATAGTTACCATATGCACGTTCACAGAAAAACTTTTTGAACCCTAAACACGGAAAATAACAAAATGTTATAAGATAATTAGGAAATGATGAGTTTTGAATTCTTTTTGTTTTTGATATAACTTATCGAATTATAAGTTTACATATTTCAATTTTTAACAATGGCTAGGGTTGAAGACTGCCGGATAAAATGCCCGAAAATGTAGCAGTCAGGGTTTGCGAAGTGCTGAGACCCGTCTCCGGCACACCACTGAGCCATGCCTGCCTCCAAGTCACGTGCTCCTTTCTCCGTGAATGAATGAACGAATCAATGGAGAAGGGGTCTGGCTGGAAGGGAAGGGCCTCGGCCTGCGTGTTGGGAAACGTTGCAGACTGCGCCCCCAGTCAGCAGGCGCAGAGAGTCCTTGGGGACAGGAAGGATGGACCGCAGCGGATCCACTTAACGTGGTTAGCGGAAGCACGGTCAGAGAGAGGAACTCGAGGAGGGCCCTCCACGCTGCGGTCAGGCCGAATTCACGCGAGCAGAACCCAGACCAGCGGGCGCCGCAGGAGGTCTGTGCCCACTCCGGCCCAAGGCCTGTGGCCTTAGAATCAGTGGAAAAGAAAGTCTAATTAATAGACACTGTTTTGCCCCACGCTGAATGCAGACAATCTAACCTGGTGCCTTAAGAACCGGAGGGTGTGGAAGCCGCCAGCATCTCGTATGAGGCAAGTTTTCTTCAGAGAAACCTTCACACCTAACAGGAAATCATTAGGAGTGAGAACCGCATGGGCAAAAACATGAGGTCTGAGAGGATATGAGCTGAGCCTGTCTTCAGCAAAGGGTGTCTGAGGGGTAAAGGTGCCCACACTGGAAGGGCTACACACGCACACACAGGCACTCATGCACACACTCACACACATGCCTGTGCACACAGACACACATGCACACACTCACACGTGTGCCTGTGCACACAGACACACATGCACACACACGCGTGCCTGTGCACACAGACACACATGCACACACTCACGCATGTGCACACAGACACATGCACACACTCACGCGCATGTCTGCGCACAGAGACACACATGCACACACTCACACACATGCCTGTGCACACAGACACACATGCACACACGCATGTGCACACAGACACACATGCCCACACTCGCACGCATGTCTGCGCACAGAGACACACATGCACACACTCACACACATGCACACACTCACGCATGTGCACACAGACACACATGCACACACTCACACGCATGCCTGCGCAGAAACACACATGCACACACTCACGCACATGCCTGTGCACACAGACACACATGCACACACTCACGCATGTGCACATAGACACACATGCACACACTCACGCACATGCCTGCGCACACAGACACATGCACACACTCACAGATATGCCTGTGCACACAGAGACACATGCACACACTCACACACATGCCTGCACACAGACACACATGCACACACATGCATGTCTGCACACACATGCACACACTCATGCTCATGTTTGTGCACACAGACACACATGCACACACTCACACACGTCTGTGCACACAGACACACATGCACATGCTCACATACATGTCTGCATGCACACACGTGCATGCATGCACACACAAGCACACACACAAACACATCCATGCATGCACTCACACCCAGACTCGCACACATGCCACATTAATGATGGGTTCACCCCCTC